ATGTATGATGTATGCATACTGGAATGGTAGAACATGTACATATGTATGTTGTGTGCATACTGGAATGGTACAACATGTACATATGTATGATGTGTGCATAGTGGAATGGTACAACATGTACATATGTATTATGTGTGAATACTGGAATGGTAGAACATGTACATATGTATGTTGTGTGCATACTGGAATGGTAGAACATGTACATATGTATGATGTGTGCATACTGGAATGGTAGAACATGTACATATGTATGTTGTGTGCATACTGGAATGGTAGAATATGTTCATATGTATGATGTGTGCATACTGGAATGGTGCTACATGTACATATGTATGATGTGTACATACTGGAATGGTAGAATATGTACATATGTATGATGTGTGAATACTGGAATGGTAGAACATGTACATATGTATGATGTGTGAATACTGGAATGGTACAACATGTACATGTGTATGTGTGCATACTGGAATGATAGAGCATGTACATATGTATGATGTGTGCATACTGGAATGGTAGAATATGTACATATGTATGATGTGTGCATACTAAAATGGTGCAACATGTACATATGTATGATGTGTACATACTGGAATGGTAGAATATGTTCATATGTATGATGTATGCATACTGGAATGGTAGAACATGTACATATGTATGATGTGTGCATACTGGAATGGTACAACACGTACATATGTATGACGTGTGCATATTGGAATGGTAGAATATGTTCATATGTATGATGTGTGCATACTGGAATGGTGCTACATGTACATATGTATGATGTGTGCATACTGGAATGGTAGAACATGTACATATGTATGATGTGTGCATACTGGAATGGTACAACATGTACATATGTATGATGTGTACATACTGGAATGGTAGAATATGTTCATATGTATGATGCGTGCATACTGGAATGGTAGAACATGTACATATGTATGATGTGTGAATACTGGAATGGTAGAACATGTACATATGTATGTTGTGTGCATACTGGAATGGTAGAACATGTACATATGTATGATGTGTGCATACTGGAATGGTACAACATGTACATATGTATGATGTGTGCATACTGGAATGGTAGAACATGTACATATGTATGATGTGTGCATACTAGAATGGTAGAACATCATCATACATGTACATATGTATGATGTGTGCATACTGGAATGGTACAACATGTACATATGTATGATGTGTGCATACTGGAATGGTACAGCATGTACATATGTATGATGTGTGGATACTGGAATGGTAGAACATGTACATATGTATGATGTGTGCATACTGGAATGGTGGAACATGTACATAAGTATGATGTGTGCATACTGGAATGGTACAACATGTACATATGTATGATGTGTGCATACTGGAATGGTACAACATGTACATATGTATGATGTGTGCATACTGGAATGGTGGAACATGTACATATGTATGATGTGTGCATACTGGAATGGTACAACATGTAGATATGTATGACGTGTTGCATACTGGAATGTTAGAACATGTACATATGTATGTTGTGTTGTGTGCATACTAGAATGGAACATGTATAGATGAAATAGCGAAAAATTTCTATCTGCAAAAATTAAATGGTCTACAGTATATATACAAACAAACATAATTTGACTTGTCCATACCTGACTTATCCACTGCAGCCATTACTTGTGTTGATGTTATTGGTGTAATAGTTGTTAGCGTAACTGTGGACTTGACACAATCAGGATAGTCATCAGGTAATGTTTTACAGTCTACACATATGACAGAATCTTCACTTAGCGTAACATACCTACAATGCAATAACATCTTGCTATCAAGTAACTTGGTTTATATTTGTTAAATTATTGATTATAATTGGTTCAAGTGATTTCCTTTCTATCAATATCAAACGTATACAACACAATATAATATACAATTTTTTGAAACCATGAATAAATACAAGTCATTGTCAATGACACGTCCCCGTTCCGTTCATATTTGAGTGACATATACATTCAAAGCAGATCATGACCGAAATGCACCTGCATATGTACAACACATTATGCTAAATCTGAACAAAATCCATCCATGCATGACTGAGATCCGGTTCTGGAATTGTGAAAATACGTGATTTTGATGCATTTTCGGCCTTAAAATGGCCATCATTCCGCTATTGTTAAGCAGATCATGAAACAAATGCACATATCTATTTGTG